TTCTGAAGCAATACAAGCTGCAGTGAAACTTTGCAAGAAGTCTGCTTCCCATAAAATATTGAGAACACATGTGGTTCGACAGTTTTGCATCCTTTACGGAGTCACTTTATGGACATTCTGGTGTCTTTTTGTCCTGATAATGTCATATATTATTTTGTTAACTTGAATTTCTAGAAGGTTTCCCTCCACCCCATATCACCTAACCTTCCTTTATTTAGGGGCTGATTACTAGGGTGGACAAAATTGTCAGTAAATTCACCTGCAACAGAACCTCTATTGAGTGGCCACTTGAAGAAAGTTCCCCTGTCCCAGGGTTCAACATAAAAGTTAAAGTAAAGAAATATTATTATTATATAAACACCAATGAAATACCAGGTGAGCTTTCGCGCGAACCTTGATATCTTCACACGTGAAAATAGCATGTTATCTTCACATGTGTAAATATCACCCTCGCTATGGCTACATAATAAATCGCGCCTTTCACACCAAAAAACTATTAAAGTGAAATGGTTTGGTATTTCATTGGTGTTTATTTCAATCGTTCGCTGCGCTCACTCGTGAAATATTTTTCAACATTCGAAGAGAAATTTCGTATCTCCGCGCGGCCATGTAATATCCTCTATATAGGCAGCAATAGGCCAAATCATAAGAGGGTTGTCCAATAAATGACTAGATTCCAATGGAATCTTCATTTCTTATTCATGGGTGACTTTAAAATATCAATTACGTTGTGTAGCATTCTTGTCTCAGATCATGACTTAAAGTACGAGGTATATTAGGTGTGTAGGATGCTTGTCTAGGGTCGTGGCATAAAGAATGAGGTATTTCACAAGTAGGCTTCCGGTAAGTCAGGTGGACTGACTGACTGTCGCTGTTGACAAAATTGGTGGAGTAGATTTTAAGCATGAGGATGGTACCCACTTTACCCACATTTTCTTGGTTTTATGTCATTTGTTTGGCGATTTTTGCCAGTCACCAGCTTCTGGAAAATGCTAGCTTTTCCAGTCATAGCGTAGAATGCCTATTGTTCTCGGGACATTTACTTCCAGTTCAACAAAGTTTGTAGATCTGTCATATCATGCGTGGACGCTATGAAACCGCCTCAACGATTGGTTGCCTTGAACGCACCGGATGCTTATTAATATGATGGTGGCCAACTAAACAAAGGGGGCAGTTCGCTATTGTTATTGCATATTTCGCAGCGACATTTTAAAAACTCGCTTTTGCTTTAATGTTTATTTGGTAAAAAAAGTTAAACCACAGAACGAATGATGAAATGTCGAATTATCTTTGCGCGAGCGAGATCTTGATTGTGTCTTAAACAAATACACTGCGCATTGAGTGTTTAGCAGACAGAAGGCGACGCTCAGTGTAATGGTCTGTAATGTTTTACTTCTGTATTTGAAAGGGTTTTAGCTCTTATACAAACCAAAACGGCGGGTAAGTAAGTTTACATTCCTTAACAGAGCTCAAACTGAGTAAAGCCCTGCAAAACAAAGATTGGCGATCCGAGTAGCAATCATAAGAAAATTCGACAAAGGGGATTCAGTGTTCGCATGTCGAATTTTTGTTGTGGCTGGTTACAGTAACTGCTCGTGCAGTTATTCGTTCGTTCTGGCTACGCCAGTGTGTATCCAATGGAACGTAAGTTTGTTTGAAGGGCTGCAAACAGTTTCTTTAAATTTCCTTCCAACTTCTTCCATTCCCACAAAATTTTCCCATTTATTTTCGGGGAAAAGTTCTTGTCATCGCCGTTTACAAATAGTGCAACCATATGTATTAGTAAAGGTTGGACCAGGGGTTCAACGAGCTCTGAAAAGGGCTCCTGGTCCAAGTCATTTGCTTTCGCGGTGTCAGCCATTATCCGGTTAATTGAAACTTTACGAACGTAAACGCAAGCCAGCAGTGTCGATCAGAATTCAAACTTCGCGCGTCGAAAGCCCTTAGTAATCAGCCGATTTATATAAACACCCTGTTTACAGATGACTACATTTAGTTTATATTAATGGAGTTTAGCTGCTTATTGTTTATTCATGGCAACCATTGTTATACTGTAAGACAAAGACTTGACTCTGAACACGCACGGATTTTCAACCTCGGATTTTTAAGGGTAAAAGTCTACAACTTCTTCTGCTTAAATTTAGGCGAAAAAGCTGTCAATGTGTAGGGGAGATGTGCATCTTCGATAATCCGTTGTTTTATACAATTTTTTTTTTCAATAATTTATTTATTAAACATCCTTTAACATAACATTACAATAAACTTTACAATAACAGGGCGGCAAATAAAAAGGAGGCGAAACAGTAAAATAAATAAATAAACAAACAAGCAAAATAAAGCGAAATACGAAGGTTCATCAGATTAACGACAACAAGCGGAACAAATAGAAAAATGTTTGCTAAATTACTAAAAATCCAACACTAATCAGAAATGCACAGCGTGGTCCACTTATTTCTGTATTTGTTAAGATTTCCTTTTGTTATTGCAATTTCTCTTTCGC